CTCCAGCAGCTTGGCCGCCCTGGCCGCGCGCTGCTCGGTGTGGTCATTGATAAAAGCGTCATCCCCTATGGCAGCGCCCAAGAACTCAAAGTTCCGCGAGACCCTGCTGGATCCGTTGGGGTTCCGGAGAAGTTCCTATGCCATGAGTCCACATGTTACGAAGGACTACGTGCATCTGCTCATATGGATTCCATGTTTGAGCCGCTTATGGCTGTTCACCACAATATTACAAGCAGTGCAAGTGTCGTACACAAAATGTTAAACACAGCTTGAGCAAGCACAAAACTTCACAAAACCAAAGCAGCAAACAAGAATACAACTCCATTCGCAAAAGCATGTGTGCACTTGCTTGGAGACCCCAAAAGCACGGGCCCATCGGAACACTGTTGGAATCTACACTCATGTACCGGACATTCAACCAATCATAAGATTACAGGTTCAAAATGCTGGCGCCTGTGACAAGTTTGTGAGGCCAGCGGAGGACTGCCTGGGCGCGATGGCAAAATCCACGCGCGGGCTCACTGAAGAATCTTATGGTTTTTCACGGAAGGCTTGCAAGGGCAATAAGTATTGGCTTATTGTTCTGCAGATCGATCTCGAAAGGAAACCGGTTCTTAGGGCCGTGATTTCAAGTGAAGTGCAGAAAACAGTCAGACACGGTACGTCCTCTTACAAATATTGGCAGTGGTAAGTAATAGTATTACTGTAATATTATATTATAGAGAATAGCTGCAACAGTAGTCAACACGGTAATTCTAGTGGTAGTAATAGTAGGAGGAGGAGGCCACAGCGCTTCATTTTACCTGAGGGCTCCGTGCGTTTTTGGACGAATGTAGCTGCAATGTAGCTGAATTTTGTTAGGTTTTTGAAGGGAAGTAAGAGGCCGTTACGGAGTAATGCTGGTTGCATGTTTGGTATTTTCAGCACGACTTGCCGCCCAGCTAAGAGCATGAATTTCCCGGAGCACACCTGCCCAAAATACGAATGCAAATCTGATTTGCAACCCCCACAGCTTCCACTTGCTGGAGCACACATGCTCAAACCAGAATAACGTTCATGTTCGAGAGCGCATAGTTCCCAGAGCACACATACCCAAACCATAACAACGTTCATGTTCGAGAGCATGCAGTTCCCAAGGCACGCATGCCCGTACCATATCAGCCTTCATGTTCGAGAGCATGAGGTTTCCAGATAGCATATGCCACGAAAACATAATTACATGCCTGCTCGAGCTCATATGATTCCCACAGCCCACATGCCCAAGCCATGACTACATTCATTTTCTGGAGCTTTCGATTTCCAGAGCACACATGCCCAAATCATGATATTTTTACATGTTCCAGAGCATCCATTTAGTCACGTTCAGGTTCGAGTGCAAAGTTCAAGGCCTTGCCGCGCTGCGTGCAGTCGAGAGGTAAGCGGGCACTGCTTGCCGACGGGGCACAAATGTGGAAGCATGCAGCCGACCAGCTGGGGATCAATTGCTTTCGGGTTTCCCCTCGCGACGAGGAATTCACGAATAGACGTGTTGATGCTGCAAGAAGTTGAGTGGTCAGTAGCACGCGCACGATTGATCACAGGGAGGTCTCTCTCCCCCCGCATGACCCCACCCTTGCAAGCTATTGGCCAAGTTGCTGGGGAAGGGGGGTTATGGGGAGGGGGAGAGGAAGCTTTTGAAGTTGCACACTCCCAAAGCGACTGTTCAGCATCCAAACCTAGGCCGCAAAGTCCATGCCCAGGTCTGGAGACATAATATTGGCACAAAAGATTTGTCTCCAGTGACTGTTGCGGATGCGCCGGCACAAATCCTGAAGTGAGCCGAAAACTCCTCTGAAAAAAATAGTTTCAGAAAGGGTTTGCGGCGCGAAAATTACGAGAGCCATGCCTGCCGGTGTTTTTGAGAAGCGATGCGCACAAAACCCTCAGGCAAAATGAGGCGCCGTGACCCAGTAGTAGTAGTAGTAGTAGT